ACTGTAATATGTAAAGTTGTAAAAGAAAAAGGAAAGATTCTGAATTTATAAAAGTTTTAAAATAATGCACGTGTTGTTCTTTTATTTTTAGTCTAATTTTTTGTATTTTTTTTTGTTATTATTATTATTATTGTTGTTGTTTAAATTAATTTTTATCATGACACTAATAATGATGCTACAGTGAATATTAACTATGAAAATTAAAATTTTATTCTTTACACTATTTTATTGTTTTTATTTTAACTATTTATTTATCTTGTCTATTTTGTTGATATTATTATCATTATAATTTTTTCATATAATATTATTTAAATTTATATTTTATGTCATGATTAGTGAATTATGTTATATTTAAAATCATATAATATATAATAAATAAGTAAATAAATGAAATATTTACATTAGCTTATAGCATGACGTATAACTTCTTTATTGTTGTGTTTTATAAATTGACGAGACCTATGTATACCTATGTTATCATAAGTCTTATTTTAAATAAATCTATCATATCATAAATCTAATTAATCAAGTAACTCCTATATTAACTAACTAAATATATTTAATTAAATATCTCTTTTATTAATAAGTTAAGTTAAAACAATTATTTATTAATGTAACAAGTTAATAACGTCATTGTGCAGCAACTCTACCTTTGTGCATTATAAATTATTGAAACTTATATATACTTACGTTATTTTAAGTTTCACTTGAACACACACACACACATATATATATATATATATTCTAAAAGTTAAAATATATTCTATTCATTAAATGCTCATTTTGTTAACCAAATATATTATTATAAATACGGGTTTATTTTATATTAAATCTTAAATTTATTTTCTAAATTATTAAATAATAATATGTTAACTGAGTAATTAAATTAAAATAATATAGATGCAGCGGTTTATAACGTCATTGTTTAATATTTCTACCTTTGTACATTTTAAATTGTTGAGACCTTTGTATACCAACGTTATCTTGGTCTTACGCAATACAAACTTGTTAAAAATATATTTTAATTTTTCTCAAATAAACGTCTATCTTTACTAATCAATTTAAATATATTAATTTTTTTCTTTAAATATTTTTTTTATTAAATAAAATTAATTTTATATTTAAAAACTTTAAATTATGTTTCCAACTTTAAGAATATATTTTTACTAAATTTTAACAAAATGTTTTGCGACATAGATGTGCGATTTACATTGCATTTAGTCGAATGATTAATCATGAGATATTTATGTATAGCTTACGTTATCTTAAATTTCTTCAATATTAAAATTTTTGAATTAAATTATATATTAAAAATAATTTTTCATAAATTAAATATTTGGTCTTAATTATTATATTTTTACAATGACTTACAACATGAATGTGTGATATTTCTTCACCTTTTGTATTGTTCGTCATGGAGTAACATGTATAGTTGTGCTATCTTGTCTCCTAAAAAATCTAAACAATTTTTATTTTATTTTTCTAAGAAAATATGGTAAATTTCAAAACAAGTTCTTTTAAAATCTTATAAATTAATCAAATAATTCTACCATTTTTTATAGAACTACGTGACTTTGAGTTCTCTATTGCACTCGGAGATATGCAGGAGCGGAATCATATCCGTCAAGTCAAAACAATTTTTTAAAATATTTTTTTTCCTTTCTAAGATATAACTTAACATTTTTAATAAATAAATCTTCTTTCTTTAAAAAATAAAAATAGGACCATTTTTTTAAGGGTTAAATAACACAATTAATTTAAGGTAACCGTTATTTAAACGAAAGTTGTAGGGTGCTAACACCTTCCCTACGCGTAAATGACTCCCGAATCCATTTTTTGTTTTAAAGATCAAAATTATAAGTTTTTTTTAGGTTTTCTTTGATAAACCTTGGTAGCGACTCTACTAATTTTTCTTTAAAACATTTTTTGTTGTATCGTTGCGACCGCCCAGTTGCGACACTTTCCCTTTTGAATCTCATGTGGAGGTCCTAGGTTTAGGTCTGTATGCAGAGGGTAAAGAATAAGATGATGTTGTAAAAGTTCCTTGATAGAAGGGAGATGGACTAAACGGGGAATAATAGCTTGATTGAACAGGAGGTGAAACAGAAAAGGGATTTATTTCTGCCTCCTTGTTTTGTTGTTTGGCTGCAATGATTTCATCTATTTCTTGTAATTGCTCTTTCAATCTCCTGATTTCTCTATCTTTCTTATGATATTCACCCGTAAACACGCTTTTTTCTTCTATAAGTTTCGCAATATCTATCTCTAGCTTGGCTATTTGCCTTTGAGATTCTTTGTAGTACTTGTGAAGCTTTTCTGATAAATGATGTAATCTTTTATCATTTTTTTGGACAGATTCAACTATCTTGTCCATTTTTCCATCTATCTTTTTTAGGAACTTATTCTAGGCTAAGGAATTCTTAGTTTGCTAATTCAGAACTTCCTCAATTTGAGACAGAGTTTTCTGCCTACCATCAGCATGAACTTCAAAAGAAATAACTAAAGGCCTGGTATTGACCTTAGTTACAGGATTTGTTTTCCTTTTGAGAGAAGGAAAATCATCATCATATTGAGAAAACATCATACAAAGAATTGGTTGTGGTACTTTTTCAGGAATGGAGGAGAATGAATTGCAAAGTAATGGAGGAGGAGGCCATGTGATTAGATCTGGATCATTAGGAGGATTTGTCAATAATCCTTCCTTTCTTAAAATATCAAGGGCCTCATAATAGATAGGTAATGGATCTTTTTTCTGTCTTATGCCTACCCATGGGTTGAATCCAGGATCTCTTCTCCGAGGTTTAGGAGGAGGTTTGCATGGCTTTTTCTTTTTTTGGTTATCCTTATCATCATCTTCAGATTCTTCCTTTGAGGTATCTCCAGAATGCATCTAACAATCACAGTCTGGTCACACATAGAAGGATCAATGTCTCACATAAAGTGTCTATCAAATTTATCTGAATATATGGGTGTTCCATCAGTGCAAAAACTGTAGATAGGAATCCCATCTTCTCTTTCTCCAAGTGTAATTATCATTGATTGAAAATAGTTTAAAAGTTGACTGTTCTCAACATTTGGTCTTTTGAAAATGGTAGTGACAAAGCCATCTACAAATCTCCTGAATGTGGCTTTAGAAAATTGTATTGGTGTTTTGCATTGCATAATATTTTCATAGTTGGTTGTCCATTCTACCTGGATTAGTTTGATTAACTCATCCCTAGATATCTATCTGGGAATCTGGACAATAGAAAGGACATCATCTTCATCCCTATTTGCAGCTACGAACATATTATCATGGGCTCCACCTGGGACTGGTAAATCATGAGCATGATTCTGAAGTCTATAAATGATCTGGTGATGGAGGGTTGTAGAGAGAGCTTCTTCCACCTGTTCAACTCCAGTCAGTTGGACTTGGACTTTCAGTCTGGTAGGAAGAGTCTTGTCTTTTAAAGAAACATTGTAATTTAGGAAGATTGTAAGAACAACACTTCCAGCATGTAAAGTATTCATAAGGGTAGCAATTACCGCATGCTCATAATGAATATAGGAGGTGTCTAGTAGGGCTATTTTAGTAGAGACAGGTAAATTTTTCCTATCATGTAATGATAGAACTAACCTAACAGCTCCAAAATGTAGAGATGTATATCCTTCTTCTCTCTAATGGCTAATGAACATTTTAAGAATCTCAAAATTAATATCTGTTTCTTGAAGATTGGGACTAATCTCACACTGGTCCATCCTTGATGATTAAACATACTTCTTTATGGGCAACTTGTTTATCAGGATAAGCCTATTTACCTTGTTGGCAAAAGACTTATGTCTCCTGAAAACATTGTAAGGACTCAATAGGGGAACTATTGATTCCTCTATCTTGGCTTCTTCTGGAACATATGTATACTCAATCAGATTCTCAATTTTATTAGCAGTTGTACGTATATAATCTCTTGGTAAAGAAAGTGGTGAATCTTGGTAGATTGGTGAAATTTTTGAACTGGTTTGTGTAATGGTTGTATTCATGAGGTTGTGGTAACTCTTATTCACTTTATTTATAATGACTATCATACTTTTTCCCTTCTTCAACAGAGACTTTAGGCTTTGAATAAACACATGTGTTCGTGGCTTTGTTTCAGATAGGGGTGACCGTAAATACAGTCTCTTCGATAGGTGTCTGTCAACTGTTCAGCCTATAAATCGTGAGAGATTGAGTATCAAATAATTTGAAGGCTTTAATACCATTACTGGTCAGAAACCTTTTATATCATAACTAAGATAGAACTCATATTATTAATTTTTAATTAGGTTAGATTAAGTTAATTGAATTTGTTGAGTTAACAAAACCTGTAAATACTTTAACTAAGACCAAAATAAAATTTATTATCAAACAAAGTTATAAAAAAATATTACGACAATTCATAACAAATTATTACAAATAATTTAATATTTTTAAGTATTGTCATAAGTCATATAACTTGATTATTATAAAGAAATGATATTTTAAAAATGGATAAATTATATTTTATTTTAAACTTTTTATATAATATATATATTTTATTTGATCACCATAAATATATATAAAGAATACAATAAAAAATGTGTTATATATAAATACTAAAGTAAAAAATTGAAATATAAAAAAAATAAAAAATTGAAATATAAATAATAATGTTATACCAAAGTGAACAACATAAAATATTTAAAAAATATTCCCTTATTTGTGAACCTGTTTATAATTTTTAATAAAATTCAATACAAAAGTTAATTTTGTGTAAGAATTAAAATAATATTTAAATTTAAAAATAAATTTAATTATTATATTAATTATTGAAAAATTAAAAAATCTAAATATTTTTTAAAAATATAAATATTTAAAAGATAAAATATAAAAAATTAATAATAATTGTAAAACTGTACTAAAAATCTTGTATTAATTACCATTAAAAAAATTGGTAAAGAGAGAGATGGTAAATCTTAAATATACTCTTAAATCCGAGTATGAGCGGGAGCACAAGAACCGAAAAGGGAAACAGGAAAATAAAATAAAATAAGAAATAGCGAGTCGCCCTCTTAACTCAGTGTCCGAGTCCGACAAATTAAGGCTCTACTCTACATAGCAACGCTTCGATCTTCCATTCCACCTTCGATTCTCTCTCTGCTTCACCTTCTCCATTTTCGTTCGCTTCGATTTCGCTGCAATCTGAGTTTTTGCGCTTTTCTCCTGAGTCTGCCTGCTTCAATTTTGCTGCAAACTGGCTATGGACTACGAACCCTACGATAGTAGCGGTGAGCTTCATTTGAAGTTCTTTTCTTTTTCCCTCTCTGTTCCGTAAATTTGAATCTTTTTTCCTCTCTTTTAATTCCAGGATTAGGGTTTTGTTTGGGTTTCTTCGTTTCAGCTTCTCTTGCTTGACCTTTTTATTTTTTTGAGTAGTTTGTGGATTTCAATTAGGTAAAGTGATGGGTTTTATTCTTTTCTTGGGGAATCTGAGTTGTGTTAACTTTATGTAATGATTGTAATCCATGCATGTAACAGTAAGAAACTTACGAGTATGTTTGATTAATGGGTGTTGTGCTTATGAGCACGTTTGGTGAGTTGACCTGTTTGTTTTGGTATTATATCTAGAGGCTAGAGGGTTAGTGTTTTCCTTGAATGTTTTTATTCCATAGTGAAAGTAGAAGTCTTCATGTGAATTTACGAGTTTACTTGTTAGCTTGTCTTCCTATGGAGTATGGTTAGTCATGGAGAAAAGTGTCTTGAGGTTTTAAGGGTTTTGATGACTTGGGAGGTATGAAAGAGCGCATTCCTTGCTATAGAAATGCATTGGAAAGAAGAAAGCTGGAAATGATTTTACTGTTATGCATTAATGTGCCATATAAATTTAACTTCATGATAAGTTTCACTGTTACCTATAATTGTCTAGGATTAAGAAGCAATTTGAAAATTCTAAGCTCCTATGGTAAAGAGAAAAGTTGAAATGTTCAATTTCAAGATTGTAAGCTCATTATGCAGAGTTTTAAAGACTGAGAACTAGTCATTCTTTTAGACAATCTGATGGCTGAGCTGCTTGGGTTTCTTTCTTTGAGTTAGATATAAGGCACTTTAGCCATGTCTTACCTCAACAAGAAAGGCACACCAATGGGGCCAGTGGTATGCTGATCTTTCTGCCACTTTGGACTATACCAATTGACAGTGTGAATGAGAAACAATTTCTTAAAATTTTCAAACATAATAAGGAAGAAACATATGAAAATGCCTTTTCATTTGTTTGCAAGGAATTAAAATTTTTTTGAATTAAATGGTTACACTCAAGTATGTCTACCTTTTCTATCCCCTCACCACCCTCCCCCGTCTTTTTTCTTGACATATTGCATGAATAGTTCTCTATATGATACGGTGTCAGACTGATGTATGGCAGACTTTCTGCATTGTATCCATGTTGAAATTTTGTTGCTTTAAACTATTAATCCCCCCTTTACTATTGTATCTCTCATCTAATTAGTTGTTGCGGTGAGTGGACTGTGTTAGTACATGCAAATATGCTATTCCTGATGCACAAAGCTGTTCTTATAATGCTTTTCTTTAGCATCAGATAGATTTTCACCAGTGCATTTAACATCTGGTTCATAAATATTTTCAAGGCTTCATAGTCTGGCCTCACATGTTATAATCACATCAATTTGCTTGATGATTTCAGGAACTGATGATGATCTTCCACCAACACATCAAAATAGAATCCCCAGAGGGGCACGTCTTGCTGGGAATGGAAGATCTGCAGTAGGTTCAATTCCATACCCCAGGATCTATGGTGAAATTGATATGGAAACTCAAATTCACCAACTTGAGCAGGAAGCATACAGTGCAGTTCTACGAGCCTTTAAAGCTCAAGCTGATGCCATTACATGGGTATATTTTGTCATTTTGTTTTGATGTATCAAATATTTTTAAAATTGTCTGATCAGGTTTAAATGGCTTCTAAATGATGTTTATTTCTTCAGGAGAAGGAAAGTTTGATTACAGAACTTAGAAAAGAACTAAGATTATCAAATGAAGAACATAGAGAACTTCTAGGTCGTGTTAATGCAGATGATGTCATCCGAAGGATAAGGTATGATAAAACTGTGAAATATTGCTTCTTGTTAATCTATACTTTATAAGTGCGATTGGCATTTCATTTTCCACATATGTATTGCTATTTTTTTAATCGACACCGTATTGAACATTAATTATAGGGAGTGGAGACAGGCAGGAGGCCATCAGCCTGGTGTGCTGACTACTGGGCAAGCTATTCGTGATTCAATTCCAAGTCCCACTATTTCTGCATCTCGTAAGAAGCAGAAGATAACACCGTCTGTACCATCACAATCTTTTGGTGGGCCTTCTCCTCCATTTCACCCCCAATCCGTGGCTGCACCCCACCAGCCATCTTCTTCAGTGGCAAAACGAGGATCTGTCCCTGTATCTAAGGGAAAAAAGCACAAACATGTAAGTAAACAATCAAATCACTTTACAGTGCTCATTGTTTCTTTTGTTATCTTCACTGAACATGAATTTGTTCCCTTTGCAACTGTGAAATACATTATTTTCTGCTAAGAAAAATTAAATCAGAAAAATTATTGCAGTTTTTGGTTCTTTTATTTGCAGGGCCAAGTGTTACCTGGTGCATCTTCAATAAAGCAATACCCTTCATCAGGACCAAGTGGTAGGAATCAAGTACCAAATAGAGTTACCTCTGGTACTGTCATGGGTGAGCTTGCTGAGGGAACATCATTTGATTCACTAATTGGCAGGAGAGTACGGACCAGATGGCCTGATGATAACAACTTCTATGAAGCAGTTATCACTGACTACAATCCTGCTGATGTACTTACAGCCACCCAATTAATTAAGAACTTTTTTGTCAGTTAGCATGTTGCTGACATGCTTATTTTTATTTCTAACTTTTCAGGGTCGACATAACTTGGTCTATGACATGGGGAGTGCAAATGAAACATGGGAATGGGTTAATCTGTCAGAGGTATATCTGATACTGATTACTGTGGTGAAGTTCTTGTGTACTTAAGATTTACACGTTGCTATTAATGATCATTGTAAAATTTATGGTTGTAAAAATATTTGGATTGCGAAACTTGAAATAGCAATGAAACAGAGAACAGGGAGGCATGAATGTTCTCATGACACCCCCCCCCTCCCACAATATAAAAGAGTGCTGACGGTGTTCAATTTCATTAAAAAAAAAATAGGTTTCTAGTTTTCTCATGAGCCCTAGAAGTGATTCATCATGCATGCGGTAGCATAATGTTCATTTTATCATCAACAAAATAACATTTTACTGGAGTTAATATTTCATGCTTATAGAAACAAATAGTGTTAACATCGCTTAAATGGCTGTAATATTACATAAGAATTTAAGTTAATCCATGTCTGTGTCATGGTTTTATTATTTATTTTGTAGAATATCCAAAAAGATTTGGAATGGTTTGTCACTTGATATCTTGGACTAGAGTTAGAAAGTGACTTTTGTCTATTTGATAATACTAAAGATAGAGTGGATTTCTCTTTTGTTTTTAAGAATTATGAAATGTGTTAAAAATTTCTTATTATTTGAGACTTCATGTACCGTTATTAAAACTGAAAAGTCTAGCAATTTCTTTTAGCTGCCACATCCAGTTCAGAACATGCACTATATGTCAATAATGTTTTTTCAATACTGGATCTGGCGTTGTGGTGGCTGGATTCTGCTTGGACTCCCTAGCCTGCAATATCGGAAGTTGCTTTCTCTGATGTAGCATTTGTTGCATGGACAAGTGGGATGTGAGGTTCCTTTTAAGAAACTTGGGCCTAACTCACTTTCAAAAGTTAGCTCATAGGAGGAAGACTACTCTAGTACTTATAAGGTGTTTACGCCCAGGACTGGACATCTGGTGCCTGAAGTTAACTTTACTGGATTGGACATGGCCTAATAGGACTGGATATCTGTGGGCAGCCTAACATTTAAAGTGGATAGACTTTGATACCATGTTAAGAAACGAGAACAAGAAACATAGGATGAATTCGTGTGTTTTGACTACACATCGGAACATATATTTATAACAGGGACCATTGATACAAAATAAGAAGTTACCGTAATGACAAAGATACTAATTTTCCTATTTATAATATTACTATAATTACATAATTCCAACACTCCCTCTCAAATAGGAGCATATAAATAGAATAAGAGCATATAAATAGAATAAGAAGTTATCGTAATTACAAAGATACTAATTTCCTAATTTATAATATTATTATAATTACATAATTCCAATACTCTCTCTCAAGAGAGTCTATCTCGCTTGATTATCACAAATAAGTGCCATTTGTTTAACTTTTCCAAATTTCAATTCTTTGAGTAGTTGTTTAAGCCATATAAGGAGGACTATCTTATCCCTTTCAATACTAATGTGGGACATTTAACAGTTTCAGTTGAAATATTCCATTCTATCTTCTTTGATTTCACCTTTTAGAGTAGAACCAAAGTGTTTTAACCCTATGTGCCAAACCTTTAAAATTCATAAAAAATATCCTGCTCTAAACTTCTAATGCATTTACCAAATTCATCGAATTTTTTAACACATTTAAGATGTGAGATTTGAGTGAATTTAAGATGTGAGATTTGAGTGAATTGAAGTTGGATGTTTTGTCGTCAAGTAAAACAGAATAACTGATAGTGAGAGTGACAGATAAGACAAAGCAGAACTTCTTCCTCATGCTCTTTCTTAGTTCTTGGCTCTGTATGTTTGCAGAAACTTCCACCAAAGTGAAAAAAGGCTGGCACAGGAGGAAGGAGGAACAATTAAGATTGTGAAAATACCATCCCAACACAGCTGGGGATGGGCTGGATGCTTTTATTTAGAGTTTCCTCCTACTACAGTAGAAATAAGAATGTTAAGATGGATGTATAACCACATGATAAATGATAGGATAAGAAATGAATGTATGTGAGGAGATATTGAAATAGCATTTATTAAGGAAAAGGTGTCAGAAAATCAGTTTAGGTGGCTTGGATGTGTAAATAAAGTCACCAGAGGCGCTTGTGAAAAATGTGGATCACATGAAAGTCTTGTGAAAAGGGTAGAGGGAGGTTTCATAAGAACTTTGGAGAAAATTATTAAAATCTCATGGTAAATAATATCTCCAAGGATTTTAATTTTGATCAAGCCTAATGACGTCATATGATCCTTGTAAACAACCTCACTTATCAGGATAAAGTTTTTGTGGTGTAGAATTTCCTCCCACTAGCCATCTGCCCTTATTATAATATGAAAGATTAGTGCAAAATATCTTTTAATTTCCTATTACATTTGCAATCATATTTTTAGGAGTAAATTTTTTAGAGTACTAATGATTTATTAATTTATAATATGCTCCACTGATAATTGATGCTATTTTTAGTTATCAAATAAAATGCTCTAATAGTAATTGATTGTGTTTTCGGTTATCAAATATTCCTTTCCCTGTATTAACTCTTTTTTTTTAATTAGCTTGTGCTAGTGTATACTAGCTTAATAATAAATTTATAAAATTTTGATTTCTGTAGTAAATAGTAAATACGGGGTCTTTATTTTCCCCATATCCATGCTTCATACTATTGTATGGCTCTTTGAAATATTTTTGTAACCTTCCATTTCCATCTTTAAACTGAGAGCTTGAGTGTTTGATAAAAATAAAACTGTTAGCACTGATTCTGTTTGGATTGTATAGCAGTGACAAAAATAGTCTCTAAATTTGTAATATTTAAAAACATTCAATTTAAATGATAAAATAGTTTTAAAGGATACTAGGCATTTAATATAAAATTGACTATACTAATAAAAACTATTTTTACTTGGCATGTTAAATAAAGAAATGATTGCTCATAAATACAGTTAATGACCTTGTGCTGAAAATTTTCAGCTCTTTTATTTTTGTCGTGTTGCAAATTTGCCATCTTTTCATTCTCAGCATTGAAATTTGCGAAGTCTACTTTTAGCTATTTTCATCTAGGAATTAGTATATAATGTGTGATACCTCAAAGTTGATGACTGCAGCTACTGATACCATTTGAAAAGAAAAATGTACTTGGATGAACATAATTTTCACTTGTGTTAAAATTTCCTTGAACCTTGAATTGTGGTGGTTATTTGACTTTCATAAGATGGAAGCATTGCTTTTCCTTGCATCTTGAATATTATGTAGCATTGTTGTCAATCTTGGATAGCTATATGTGGTGGCCCTGTGGCTGATCCCAAAAAATGGTCACTATTCTGAAATTTTTTATACAAATTACTTAATTCATACTATATATATGTGTGTGCTTGTGTGCGCTCTTAAAAAGTTGAAAAAGACTCCCAATCCATGACACGTTCATAATTATCAATAAAAATCAGAGTTAGTATGTAGCTAGGAGAGAACGTAGACATAATAACAAAGTTCAGGTCTAGGAAAAAACTGAGACTTGAGAGAACAAAAATTAGAACAAGGAGAGAAGACAAAATAATAAAAAAAATAGAATAGAAAGTCAGTAACCAACCAACAAACACAGAAAAAGAGAAGGGAAAAACAAAGAATACAAGGAGAGAGAAGCAACCTATGGGATAATGAGAACAAAAGGGATAAAGCACAACACTTGGCTGAAAATGCAGAGTCTGCGGACAGAGAGTGTGGGTTTGCCAGACTACACCAGGTGCTGGCTGGAAAACACCAGTTTGTGGCCACAAAATTGCCAAAGAGCAATGGGATGATGAGCTGCATAGTAAGCGGGTCAGAGAGAAGAGAGTGCAAAAATGGGAAGAGTCAGAGAGGATTTTCTGACTTTTCTCCCAAACCATTTTGAAACTGATTTCATTTTGACCCAAAAATCCCCAAACTAAAGTTAAAATTCAGGGTTTTGGGTTTTCAGATACCTTCAGAATAGGATCCCAGGTGCATGCAAAACACCGTGATTTTTTCCACGATTACAGCAGCAATAGCTGTGACACTAAAGCACAACTGGACAAACCGACAACCTGAGAATAGTGACAAGCTCCTGTGATGAAATGCTGCTGTAGCGGTGCAATCAAATGCTGTTGACACCTAGCTACATAGAATATGGATTTTCCATCTGCTTGATATACTTTACACTTGTTAGTACAATATTGTTTTAACCAATTCTGATACAATATTGTACAACTGCAGATCTCTCCTGAAGATATTCAGTGGGTTGGTGAGGATCCTGGAATCAATCATCGTGGAGGTTTTGGTGGACCTGGTAATGGGATGGGTAGGCCTATAGGACGAGACAGTGTTCCTGGAGCAGGAAGGGGCAGGGGAGCCTCAAAGGGGCAATCCAGAAAAGATTTATTACCATCACAGAATGGAACAGGAAAGAAGACTCTAGATGATATACATATACTTCACACAGAAACGCTTGTCAAGGAGGTAACTGAAAACAGTTCAATCAGAGTATAGGGAGATTGTTTGATCTTTTATTGACATTGTAAGTATCTGATGAATTTGACAGGTGGAGAGGGTATTCAGTGCAACTCATCCTGATGCACTTGAAATTGAGAAGGCAAAGAAAGCATTGAAAGTAAGGGACAATTTACTATGCTATTTCTTTACTTTCTGCTGCTGATTTGTTTTATTTTCTTGCCAATGGTGTATGTACGAATAATTGATATGAAATAAATGCAGGATCATGAGCAAGCACTTATTGATGCAATTGCAAAACTTGCAGATCTTTCTGATGGCGAAAGTGGTATTTCTCAGTTTTGATACCTTATTGCAATATCATCTGGGATTTTCCTTTCATAAAGAGTTCTCAAATAAAGTAGAAATTTAAATACTGGTGACATTATTTGGGTATTAAATGGATCTATTTAATGCCCAATCATGAAATATTAGGATTTGCATTAGTTCAGCACGGACACTTCTATGCAAAGGAGTATTCGGGTGTCACACATGACTCTGACATTGACACCGGTGCAACATGGCTTGGACACGTGTGGGATACCGTTTTGCAGGTGTTTGAATTTAAAAATATTATTTTGCGGCTTGGACATGGCTCGGACACTAGAAATTACATTTATAAAAAAATTTGGTTAAAACTTATAAGGTTAAAAAACGTTTCATCTGCACGAAAGGAGGGACTTCTGTTCCTCCATTCCTCTACATATTTCTGTTTCTACATCGCAATGTTCCTCTACTCACCATTTTCCATTCTCTAGTTGCTGATTGTCGTTCTCTAGTCAACTTTCATCTCTGTTCTTTGTCATATGAAACTTAATGGCTCTTAATATTTTTTGTTAGGATATCATATGAAAATTGTAAAGTCTAACAATTTTGTTTTGAGAAGATGAATGAACAAATCTTAATTTTCAATTTAGATTTTTGTCATGTTAGTCATATATATATGGGATAGGATCCATTGACCTTAAAAGATTTATACTAAATCCTAACCGTACAAATCAAATAATCTAATGGTTGAAAAGTTATCTCTTTTTATTTTATTTTTACATACTTTTCAGGTAGCTTTTCAACTATTAGATTATTTGATTTGTACGGTTAAAATTTGGTGTAAGAATATATATATATATATATATATATATATATATATATATATATATATATATATATATATATTTATATATATATATAAGCAGTGTCTTCGTGTCCTATATTTTGGACATCAACCATGTCTCTGTTTGTGTCAGAATCGGTGCTTCATAGGTTCAGCACTAAGGGCCCATTTGGTTTAGCTTTATGATGCAATTGCAAGACTTGCAGATCATTAAGATGGCAAAATTAGTATTTCTCAATTTTGATACCTTATTGCAACACCATCTCAGTTTTTCCCTGACACGAATAGTCTTCTAAATTAGGAATCAGAATACTGTGGGCATTAGGTGTCAATCCAATCATAAAATATTAGAGTTTACATTGGTTCAGCACTATAGGCCAGGTTATTTCGAAGTTGAGTAAAATTGACTTTGATATAATATAATTAATTTTTAACTATTCAGTGTAATTAGGACGTGTGCTCAACTTAATTTTGGCCATAGATTTTCATGTATGTGTCACGGTGGAAAAAATTGATTATTGGTGTTTTCCAAAAGAGGAGGCACATGGATTTCTCTATATGCAATTTGAATTGATGTACATGTGATAGGGAGGTTGGCATAATGCAGTTTATGGTCTGACATGTTAGCGATGTTCACTCCTGAAGCTGGCATCTCACCAAATGCCCATGACTATTGCTAATTTGAGTGTAAATAAGGAGAAAAGTAGCAGTGGTTTGCGATGGAAAAGGTTTTGATATTTGCTGATTGTTACCTGGTAGAGTGGAGAAACAGTTTATTGTACCCAGCAAGTGTGAAGCAAAATTTGATTCCTTATTTTTAACTTCTCTTTTTCTCTTATTCAAACAACTATAGCCTATGTACTTAGTGTTCGGCACTCTTTCATATTAAAAATTAGATGTCATTCAAACATGAAATTATGAAAATGTCATTCAAACATGAAATTATGAAAATGTCATTTTAATTGTGGAAATCACCATCTTCGTAAATAGTATTTAAAGATGGTGTTTCTGGGTGTATGATGCTATTCAATGTATCACTGATCGGTCCTAAATTATTTGCATAACCATTCTTGATGTTATTGTTTATACAGATGAGGGTGGTCGCCACCATTTCTCACACGCACAAGATCGACAATGATGGTAGACCTTGTACACTGGGCATAGGAGGCATTGTAGTATGGAAAAGAGTTTCCCTGATAGTTTAAGTAGGATGACAATTATGTAGGTTTGTAATAATTATTTATTGAGGTTGCAAGAATTGACCTAGGACTAAATGATGCTTGTATACAGGATGGTAGTTTATAAGTTCTTGTATTTGTTGTGTATTATGTATGAGCCCACCAATCTGTTAAAAATGACAGTAGTGTCTAGCCCATTCAATGTTACATCCATCTTGGAATCTCAATTTCTTTAATCCAGTCCAGTTAACCGTGGACCTTAAAATGACAAATAACCCTTCTTTCGGCTTTCTAGAATTTAGTGCGTGTTTTAACAATATATATATAGAAAATTAAGAGTTTGGATTTGTATCATATAATTTATTTGTGTATTATTTTATTATAATTTTCACTATTGATTTTTAAAAATTAATTTTTACACTTTTGCATTTGATCTACGGAAGTGTACCGTACATTTGAGTCAAACTAGGATATGTTTGTTTTAAAATTGAATAGAATTGGTTCTGATAAAATTAATTGTGAAGTGTTAGTACAATTAGAACGTGTTAAATATAATTTTAGTCATAATTTTTATTAAAATGTCATTTTTTCTAAGAAAATAGAAAAATTAATTCTTACCTAGAAGTTAAACAAGTATTTATTCTTTTCAGCAGTAAGTGGTTCTAGGGTCCTTACATTTTGCCTATGAAATGCAACTCCTACCAACCGTTGAATATGTTTCGATGAGTATTTTAAAGGCAAAATTATCTTAGACGAGACATGGGTTTAATAGCTAGAGAGAAATGAGGACAAGACTCCAGCCGAATTATATGTTATGAACGTGTATCTATATTCTACAAATGCAATGAATATTTAACAAAGTAACTGCGAAAAAGATGGATCCATTAGTTTATCTAAATTATAATTTATGAGAACTCCCCATGTGTTAAACAGGTTGGACAAAAGAAAAATTAAAGGCACAAATCAATTAGTTTTTGTTTCTTTCTTTGTGATATGGAGATAAGATGAGTCGGCTTATGAGCCACGGAGTTTGTGACACTCCATTGACTTTGGCCGTTTCCTAGTTCTGGTCTACTTATCCCATTAAGGACAACCACTGGTACAAAAGATTGTGGTTTTTAACAATAATTTATGTTGTTTCTCAATAGTTTTTTTTAATCTAATTTAATCTAATCTAATTTGAGTCATGCATTTAGATATGGTGGATAAATTTACCACTAAAATTTTTTTACACATAAAGACTCAAATCTGAGATCTTACTTAAGTAATACCAAGCTGCTTGTCACTCAGATTAACATATGTTGTGTCTCGATAGTTTTTGTTTGGTCATATCTTACATATATTCATTAAGAAATTAATAAATAAAGACTTTATTGAAAACTTACAATAATATTAAATGTTATATATATTTTAATTTTTTAACTAATTTTTCTAAGATATTGGTTAGTGTTTTTCTTTGTTTATGTTGCTCACCTTGGTATGATCGTTCAAAAAGGATAATAAATATAAGTGTTCATCCGTTCTTCCAAAAATTTATGATGCTATAAATATATTCTTAAAGTTAAAGTTTAATTAAATATTTAGCTCCTTAGAAAATTATATATTTTAAACTTAATTTTTTAAAAAATTTATATTAAGATATAGCTTTAATTTTTTAATTTATTAAAAATTAATCTTTATCATCAATTGAGTTATGTTAAATGATGAAGTAAATAATAAAAGTTTCATTTATTAATATCAAATCATACGTACTTGGTATTTTTTTAATATTTTATTATTAAAAGGTCAATATTGCAAAAATATTTCTAAAAAATATTTATGTTTTTTTAAAGAATTAATAATTAATTTAAATACTCTTTTTAAATTTTTTTTTTGAACTAGCCTCCCTTCTTTTCGGACTGCCACTATTACTAACCAATGCATTTTTTGGTAGGAATTTACAATTGTTGAAGCAGGCATTGATCCATCATGTGACTTGCAATTTTTCTCCTCACCATGTGAGAATTCATTGCTACCTTAGCCTTAAGCGGCACGTCCCTACCTCTGTTTTACAAACAATAGAACTGAATCTGAGAGCTATCCCAAGCGTTTAGTTCTCTTGCATAGAAAATTTTCTACAGTGCCATCAAGGATAGTAAGCAGTGCAAAATATCCATGATGAATACTGTTTCAGGAACTCAGATTCGTAAACTTAATGAAGCACATATAACAAAATGCTCGTCTTTAGCTTGACCTTTCTATTTTATTACTTCCCTCTTGCCCTTCTCTGTTATGCATTGCTACTTTTATTTATAACCGTAAGAGCAAGGGTTGAGATGATGTACACGAGATGACTAATTGTTGCCCCTTTCTACTAAAACACAATGTTGTAGCATCAATTCACAGGACATGTTCAATTGCTGCGTCATGCACAGTGCCTAAAACCTTTTGGTTCTTCTTGGATAATGAGTAGTTTCCTTCGCAGCATGGTTTCTTTTGGTGAACGCTATTTGTTGGGTCGTAGTAGCTCTCTGGTGGTTCCCAGTGCTTCAGTGTTCGTAGTCTCTTGACTTTTTCTTCGGCACAAGTTGGATGCTTGGCTTGTTCTCGAGGAACATGTGAGTGTGCAAAGCAAACTTTGTGCCCTTCTTTTCCTTAAGACTTCTAGTGATATAAATCTATATTTTCATTATTTGTTTTTCTCCAAATAATAGCCCTTTTGCACTTGAGTTTGGAGGCTAGGCTCAAGCGTATTCGTTCATTAGCCCCTTCCTTTAATGCTTCTTTCTTAAAATTTCCCCTTTTTACAATTACTTGTATTTCAACTCCCTAAAAAAAGTGTCCTATAAAACTTTCCCATTACACTCCATTATGACATAGTGGTAACCATTAGGTTGAATTTAAATTCCCTTAACTGAATATTTCCCTCTCTCTCATAGTATATGGTAACCGTTACTTTGAAAATTAAGTTCACCATATTTGCAATTTCTCCCTTTCATTTTACTATCGTAAAGTATAAATCCCATTAATCACTCTTTTCTTCTTCCCCTTCTCTGTCTTTTTTTCTTGCACTTGGCTTTCTTATTTCCTTCCATGGATTGCATCAAATCTGCCAAAATTGTTGTCCTAAGTTCTCGGCTACTCACCCCAGTTCAATGACTACCTTCACCGACACACGTTGTATGGATACGAGTACGTCTGTATACAATATAAATAAATAAATAAATAAAATTTAATATAAACATAATTAAATTATATAAAATTGTCTATCAATCTATTCAAAATGATATAACATAAATTGAATTACATTGTTCAACAAATAAGATTCCAATAAAAACATAAATTTATAAATTGTTATACAATCAACAACAAAAGGCTAAACATTCCTACTCTAACAGTGTCAATCTCATCATTCCCTTCTCCATCATCATTAAAAAGTATTGCCTCCAAATCTTGTTAATCAAGGGAAAGAGTAGCAACTTCAAGAAAACTAGTCCTTGCAAATGGATCCTACTCATTACCACCAATATCTCACATTTTGGTCTCACTCTCATAATAATTTTTACTCTTTCTTGAGAGCAATCGAAGATTTGTATGTATAAAAATTAAATCTTTAGGCCTCTTAAGGTTGAGCCTATTTCTTTTCATGGAATGAATGAAAGAATATGTGCTCCAATTTCACTCACAACAAGAAGAAGAGGATGGTTGTGAAAGGACCTTTAAGGTAATGATTTGAAGTTTAGGAAGTGCAGCACTATACATAACCCACCATTCTTTTAGCTTCAAGTTCCACCTATCTTTTAAACAATCAAATTGACCAATCTCTTCTCCACCACTTGAGAATTTAACAAACTTCTGGGTTGCCTCTAATCTTTCCCTTGGATACAAAAAGTAGCTTCTCAAACATTTGTTTTTCCCTATACAAATCTCATTGTCCCTGTGTGGAGGTACTCAATTTGGTGCTTCATTAAGCCATTGCCTACAATAATACCTATCAATAACTTAAAGTTAGTTCACTATAACCTAAGTAAAATAAATTGAAACTTACAAATTAATTAGCTTTACCTAGGATTTAGTGAATGAGCCAAGCAATGAGGTGGTGTGTTACTTTTACTCCACTTATCAATCAAAATGTTATACACCACTTCATAAAAGGATGAATGTTCATTTAACTCATTGCCCTCATGTTGATATATTGCATATTTCACTTACTCGATCATGACATCCAATTTTTCATAAATCAAATGAAGAGTTGGCTCATCAGTATCACAAGAATGAAGCATCTAATATATAGGGTTTGTGAAGCTCAAGATATAATCAATCTTTATCCCAAAAATTGTCATTTAGAATTGTTACTTTCACAAAGGTAGCTCTTGGGACATCATCTTCTTTATAATGAGACCATTACCCACTAATCACCATAGTTTGAAGACCATGCTTAAGGGTTCTTAACCTTTTAAGCATGATAATGTTTGATGCAAATTAAGTCTCAGCAATGACAAGCAATTTTAAATTATTAAATTGATTGAACATGCAAGTCTCATAAAATGATTCATAATGAAATTTTTTATGAAGTATGCATCACTAGTAAGTTGAGAGATCCAACTACACTCATTATAAGCAACCTCATTAGCTAGTGTATTTTTTGGAGAACAAATACCTTTTGAGTGTGTGCACAATACAAGGTGTCCAAAAAATGTGAAGATGCACAGATTCCACAATAAATCCAGCAGCTTTGCAAACTGGTGCATTATCTGTGATTATTTGAAAAACATTTTGTACTCCAACTTCATCAATGGTAGATAGAATTAGGTTTGCTATATAATTCCTGTCCTTGTATTCACTAGATCCATCAAGTGCTTTAAAAAACACAGGACCGGAATCACATGCTGTCATGAAGTTAATTAGTGGTCTTCTCTGTGCATCAGTCTAACCATCACTAACTATGCTCACACCTTTTTCTGGCTAAGTGTCTTTGATAGGTTGGAGTAACTTTACTATGTTGGCCTTTTTCTTTTGCAAGAGTGAAGTTGTAACTCGGTGGAAGAAAACTTGAGATTTGAGTGTTAGTAGCAAATGTGTAGGAACAAACAAAATATGAATTATGAGCAATATTGAATGACAAACTGGCTGAATAAAACATTCTAGCAATTTCACAAGTCAAGTGATCTCTAGCCTCATTGTTAACCAATGGTCCTCCTTTTCTTCTCTTGCTTCCATTCACAGGTGGATTCAAACTTGTTGTTTCGATAGGTAAAGACATTTGCACAATTTAGCTTTCTCAACGACCATTCTCTCAACTTGTTTCATTTCTTCAATACATTCATTTGACACTTTTGTACAAATTGTTACATCACGTCTCTTTTCCCTCAACAAATGATTCTTAACTCTAGCGTAAAAACCATTATAAATTGCATTGTCACATAGGCCTAAAGAGTACAGTGACCCTCAACACTTCTAGAAGCAAATTTACTACTATTAGATATGGAAGGATTGGAAGAAACATTTGCAGATCCACTACTTGAATGGTGTGAAGACATTTTGACAAATCAACCTAACCATTCAATCACACAATAAGCATCCAAAGGTAAATTTAATAATAAGAAAAATTGTATAAAACTTTTTACCAAACCAAATGCCTCAAATTTTTTTTGTTATGATTAATAAATTAAATTTAATAATAAGAAAACTGCATGATAACATGAATAGAAGGGTTCATGGTAAAATAAATAAATAAATAATGCAAAGGTACAAAAGATAAAAGATTGCAATGATATTCAATATATAGGGGAAACAAGACAACTTATGGTAGAAGCAACAATGTTTACTTTATAAATATTTCAGATAAAGATATTCAAATCTCTCTCTATATATAAGAAGGAACTACTTATTAGAATCCTTTGTGAGAAATAAAAGGGCATCTTACTTACAGTATTGAGCCTTCTTCAAAATATACATCTTTCTATTGTCGAGAGCAGTGTAAAGCCATTTGAAAAAATTACTCTCAACATTACCATCATTGCTAAGGTAAAAAAAATCCATTTAATTAAAATCTAATTTGTATGTTTGAACGCTAACATGTTGCTGGAAATATATATATTGTAGATAGGTGTGGAATACAACGTGACAAGGGATGAGTTAGTGAAAGAATTGATATAGAATCTTTTGAAATTATTTTGGCATGGGATGTGCATGGACCCAGATGAAATTGCCCAAACTTTATGCATATTTAACTTTTGATGATTGGTATTGATATTCTTATCGAGGGAAGGTAGGAGGTAGCTGTGAGTCATGATGGAATGGTATAATATCACTAAGCCCAACTTGCATGCGATTAGGAAGATTAGCTGCAATCCAAGCAACACCACGGGAGCCATGACCAAGTCCGTAGGCTTAATAGCAAAAGCAAACAACAATTATGACAATAGGAGAAACAAAATCAAATGAGAGAATGATGAAGATGAGTACTCTCCTAATACCTAGAAGCAAGAAAAATATCGTGATGGGTACTGCAATAAACCAGTTCAGATTGAGAGAGAAAGAACTGAGTTGCCCTTGGATTGAGATCTCTACTAGCGCTGCAGTTTTCTTAGGTAAGGGCTTGAGCTTTAGGGCACAAAATGAACAAAGGAAAATTGAAAGATAGAGTATTAAAACCTGAATTTTTTTTTAAATGACCAAAAAATGACATCCTTTTAATGGATACGTGTATCAGAAATGTACCCAAGAAGTACCCAATATGTACCCTTTTTTTTTTGAAATATTTTCAGGTACGTACCTAACACGTACCCAACGAGTATTAGTACCGAATACGTACCCGGTACCAATATGCTCACAGATTTCGCTTACCCGTGCTTCGGAGACCAACACCACTCTTGAATCCCTTCCTGATAGAATTTGTTTTTACATTTGGGATTCCTTCCCCTTTTCTCACCTTAATTATGGAGAAAACACTATGCAAAAGTTACTTAGTGATGCATGTCCCTTTACCATCTTAGCCTTGGCCAAAGTACACTTCCAATGGAGAATAAGAAGAATCGAATGGTTTTGCTGGAGTGGGGTTGTCCTTGGAAGAAGCCAGTATACACCATGCTCTTGTTGACCGTTCCCTTCATGAGTTAGCCCCCTTTTTTTTTGCATTGCCGCTTGTGGTGAGAAAGTTATTTCTTTTGTTTCTTTTGTTCCTTTTACTAGTGGGTGGCAACAATGAGTTGATCATGTTAACATATATAAAGTCTTAAAGGCAACATGTGAATGACAGGACAATAACATATCAAGCCTGAAAGATAATAGGTAAATGATAGCGCAATAACACATATAAAGTTAAAAGGAAAATGGTAGCATAACAAATATTAGATCATTAGATCAATACATTGGTTTAAGAATCATACTAAATTATACCAAACAAACCAAACCAAACCAATGCTTCTATCAAATTATTTAAGATGATGCCTGTCAGAGGCCTTAATTACTAGGTTAGTTAAAGTGCAATAGTGATGCAATTTTCTTAGCTAATTTAGGATTTTCTTCCCTTATTATCACCACTTTAGATAATGTCACTAGAGTAAAAATGACTTACTACAACTAGCTTTTACATTGGTTATGAAAAAAATTTATGTAAATTCTTGAAATTTATGAGAACTTTTTCACATTAGTTTTAAACTAATCGATGTAAAAAATATTTGTTACATCAGTTCTAAAAATAATGTATATAATAAGTGTTTTCTACACTAGTATGAACAATAAATTGTTTCAAAATATACTAGGAGATGTTTAACATCATCCCCTATTGTTGTTAAGGCTTTTAGCCTTTTGAGAAGAAGTAACTTTGCTTATAGCTAACCTCCAATGGGACCAAGTGCTCTTTGATTATGACTCCTTATATGTGGTGAGAGTTTGTAAGAAAGAAGTTCATATTTTATAAACTAAAAGATACATTACAATATATAGGAGCTAACCAGAAACATCCAAAGAAGAGATTTTCTTTATGGGTTGGATATTTAGACAATGAAAGTGCTCAATATGTTGCATCCTTGCTTATTTGCTAGAAGGTTGTCATTCAATTAGGCTTCCTCCCTTCCTCCAAGTCTCAATGACATCATGGTAAAGCAAAAGACCAACACAACAACATCTAAGACTTAGTATGACTACTTACTTATGCTTATTCATCGAATTACATCTCCTACTTTCACTATGTCTTCATCTTCTCTCACATCTAACTTTCATCTCATGTCAATAAACATCTTGTTAATAGCCTATTCTTGGTGGCGCAAGTGTTCCTTCATTTTTCATGGAGAGATTAGACATAGATGATAAAAATCTTTAGAATTTAAGATTACTTTTTTTATTGTGAATTTGTGATATCATGTTTTTTTTTTTACTTATTTGTACTTTTTTGTTATGGCCCAAGATATAGATAGTTACTTAAATAGCTTGGAGGAATATTATGAGAATGGAAACCTAATCACACAACTCAGGCCTAAAAAACTTTGTTACTAATTAGTTGAAAGGGGTACATAAGATGGAAACATAAGCATTAATGCAAGGGAGTATTTTCTTTGGGGTTGTTAGGATATTTCTATGAATAGCTATAACATGTCAATTGTTGAGAAAATCCTTGCTATATGTATGTGAATATTCTCATTCAATAAAGTAAGAAATATTTTTGTTTTTTCTGTTGTTGCTTGGAGGTATCCTTCCTCCGAAGAAAGACCTTTCAATTTGATGCTTTCACTGAGAGTGTCATGGCTAGTTCTACGAAATTTGATGATAAGCTTGTAGTTATCAAGCAACTTTTAGTGAATGTTCTAAGAAGAGATTGATTATCACATAGCCGATTTAAAAGTGTAAGTAATTTTTCGTGGTAGCCCTAGTCTGATCTTTCACACTACAGTGAAGTTGAACATTTTGCGTTTTGACAGATCTGATCTTTAGGGATAGATTTTTAAAATCACCCAATTTTTTGACTTTCACAACACACTAGAGGAATAACGGCTTCGAATAGCTTCATTCTCCATAGAAGGTGAAGCCTTAAGTTGGTTTCAATGGATGCATGCCAATAATCAGCTAATTTCTTGGGCAATTTTCAATCACGCTTTGGAAATTAGATTTGCATCATCACACTATGAGGATCCCAAAGGAACCCTCTTCAAATTGTGCCAAACATCCACGGTACCAAGCTTAGTTTGAGTCTCTTGCCAATAGAATTGTTAGATTATTGCCCCTGTTCTTCTTAAGTTGTTTTGTTTTGGGTTTAAAACCAAAGATTAGGAAGGAAGTGCAGGCCTTCCAAACCATCTCCTTATCACAAGCAATCAGCCTAGCTAAATTGCAAGAAGAAAAATTTGTAAAAATTGTAACTTTTATTCGTTCTTAGCGATTCACACCCATGGCCACAAAATCGGTTTTAATGACAAATTTCACCCCTTCAATCTCACCCAAATCATAAACATTTCCTTACCTTATAAATTTAGCTCCAACACTAATTTTTCACCCACTAAGAGACTTTCTACTGCTGAACTTCAAAATTGAAGGGAGAAGGCTTGTATTACTATTGCGATGATAAATACAAATTGGGTCACAAGTGTAAGAGACAATTTTTGTTGTTAATTGTGAAACTTGAAAAATGTGGAGAAGGATTCGATCCATTTACTTCAATTTGTAAACCATGCACAAATTGAGCCACCCGATCCACCTTATAACACCTCAGCTCAAATAAACCTCCATGCCTTATTGGACCACTCAATTTTGCAAACATTGCATGTTTTTAGCCACATAAATTCCTCTCCAGTTGCAATTTTAGTGGATAGTGAGAGTACACACAATTTTATACAGGATTGTACAGCTAAGTTCTTAGGTCTCGAAGTGGTTATGGTGTAAGGGTTCCATGTCCTTGTTGGTAACAGAGACAAACTCTCATGCTTCTCCATGTGCAAGCAGGTCCCGTTACAGCTAGGTGAACACAAATTCTTTGTTAATCACTTGATTTATTTGTCTTGCCATTGAGTGGTGCAGAACTTGTACTAGGAGTTTAGTGGCTTACCACCCTAGGATTGGTACTAATAGATTATGAACATTTGACAATGAAGTTCATTAAGGATGGCCAAATGGTGCAATTGAAAGGCCAAAATCGTAAAACTCCACAAGAAGCTTCCTTACATCAGTTGAGGCGCATGATTGTCATTAATGGGATTACAGAAATGTTTCAATTACAACTTATACCTTCTTCTAAATTGCATTCTGCTACTCATTCTATATCAAAAATTGAAGCCCTTCTAGAAAAATACCCTCAATTGTTTGACACCCCATGCGATCTCTCCCTATTTGTGAGATTGATCATCACATTCTTTTTCCTAAGGGATCCAGTCCAGTAAATGTTGAGCCTTATCAGTATCCTTACTTCCAGGAGCATGAGATTGAGAGACAAGTCAGAGATATGTTAATGAGTGCATCATTTAGAGGAATAACAGTGTTTTCTCTTCACTTGTACTATTAGTGCAGAAAAAAGATGGGTCATGGCGATTTTACATTGACTATAAAGCCCTTAATGCCATCACAGTGATAGATCATTTTCTGATTCCTTCAATAGATGAGTTGATTGATGAACTGAATGGAACATAATGTTTTTCGAAGTTATATTTGCAATTTTGCTACTACTAAATTTGCATGAGTCAAGGTGATATCCCTAAAATTGTTTTTAGAACCCATGAAGAACATTATGAGTTCTTAGTCATGCTCTTTGGGCTATGCAATGCACCTACTTCTTTTTAGTCAACCATGAATATGTTGTTCCAACCTTATTTGAGGTAGTTTGTTATAGTATTTTTTTGATGATATTTTAGTCTATAATAAATCTCTAGAGGACTATATATCACATTTGAATACTATTTTTTAGTGTTTGAATTCTAACCAATTCTTTCTCAAGAAATCCAAGTGTTTGTTTGCTCAAGAGTCTATTGACTATCTTTGTCACAGTATCTTTAGGTATAGAATGAGATCAGATCTGGAGAAAATTAGGGTGATGCAATCTTGGCTAGTACTTCTATATTGAAGCAATTGCACGGTTTCCTTGGTTTGACTGACTGATCGCGAGTGTCGCTCTCGGATAAATTAATAAAAATTGAATTGCATAAAAATTATGTAGTAAGTGGTGCAATCCAAGTCGTCTCCCAACGATGATAACGTTATACGATTATAAAATTTTTAGAGGTGGTTTGATTTATAGAATAACTAATTAGAATCAAAAGTTAAAAATAATTAAAAACTCTAATATAAGAATTTAGAAGAATTACGACCACTCTATCACCGGATTCTAAGAAGATGCATCAACCAACAAATTAGTGATTAACATTAAATTTGAATGAAATCTCAATTCAAATTAAGCATTCACACGAGAACCCTCATGCATTCGATTAACGCACAATTCGCTCAAAGTTCAGAAACTTCTAGAACCTAATCGATTTGTGTTAATTTAATTCACCAATGCCATTAATCTTAGATCTCAAACCTGAAAATATAATTCACACTCCTTCAAGAATTAATTACATACATCAATCGAATAATATGTAATCAAACAGCTGCACAATTATCAATCCAAATGAAGAACTTCAATTCGAAATCATAATTAGCAAAAGAAGAAAGAAGGAAGAGATGAAACCGAATTTGTTGTTTAATAAATTGCGAAACCGATCCTCAAGAGTGTCTCAGCCCTCTTTCAATCCTTAGATTAGATGGAAATCTAAGCCTTCATGGATGGAGGGAAACAAGTCGTAAAAGGGGAGGAAAAAAAATGAAAAAGAGAAGAGAGGAGAGGAGCCAAAAAAATTAAAATTCAAAATTCAAAATTTTGTTCGTCACTTTGTTCTATTTTTTCAGCTATGAAAACGGCCTCTTTTTGGTTCGTGGCCTGAAAGACAATTGTAGCCTTGGATATCAGCTTCAAAATGCCACTAGAATGGGCTTAATCGGATGTCTGTGGACTGAGATACGGCCCAAATACTACACCTTGCTCTGGATCCACGACTGCAGCATTCTAACTTTTTCCAGGCCCATTTTTAGTTTCTTATCATCAAAATTGGTTTTTGACCTCTTCATAGGAATTGTGCACCTTTTTCTTAGCTTTCCTACAAATCAAGAATCACAATGAAAGGAGTTCTACAACTCAATATATGGTCCAGAAACCAAAACAGTATCAGAATTTGACAAATACTGAAAAAATTAAATAAAGCTCAAATAAAATTCAAACATTATAAAATGATCCAATTCAAACCAATTAGGCATAAAAGAGGATTAATGAACTAGGAATGAGAGAAAATAAGGTTATAAAAATCCAATTGATCACTGACAAATTTGTGCGTCATTATGCTTCTACTACTACTTTACTCATATATCTTCTTAAGAAAGATGCATTTGCTTGGTCTAATGAGGCTTAAATTGCTTTCAATAAATTGAATGCAATAACCCAAGGTCCCATGCTAGCTCTTCTGAATTTTCAAGAGGATTTCGTTCTAAAGACTGACGCTTCCAGGTAGGGCATGTGTGTGGTTTTACTGCAAAAAAGGCACCCTATTTGTTATTTCAGTAAGAAATTTTGTACTAAACTCTTATCTGCTTCTACCTATGTTAGAGAATTGTATGCTATTAGTTCAGCAATTAAGAAATGGAAGACTTATTTGTTAGGCAAAAGATTCATTATTCATACGGATCAAAGAAGCCTCTATGAACTCATGACCTAAGTAGTGCAAACACTTAAACAACAATACTACTAATCTAAGTTGTTGGGATTTTCTTACGAAATTGTGTATAAATCTAGAGCTACAAATTGTGTTGCGGATGCCTTAAGTCAAATGCAAGAAGATTCCCTTAAATTTTTTGGACTAACAGTGCCTCAAAATATGACCTTGTGACAAAAATACAAGTCAAATATTACTTTGATTTTGCTTTAAAAGACTTATATCAATTTGTTTTGTGTTTTTCTACACAACATCCTAAATTCAAACTTATCTAGGGTGTTCTGTTTTGTAACAACAAAAATTTTATTGCAGCTAATTCTCCTCTGAAACAAGTGTTGCTTGATGAATTCCATTCTAAACCTATGACAGGTCATACAAGGGTGCAGTGAACTTATGGTCAACTTTGTGAAAATTTCTATTGGAATGGCATGAAACAAAACGTTACAGATTTTGTCAAACCCTATGTTACTTATAAACAAATTAAATTACCCTTGCATTTACCTTATGGGTTACTGCAACGTCTTCCTCCGCCCACTGCAGTATGGGAATATATCTCTCTTGGCTTTATCACAGGGCTCCCTTCTTTCGAAAACTACATTCATTTTTGTAATTGTTGACTGTTTCTCTAAAGCTGTCCACTTTGATATTCTTTCGACTTCTTTCACTATAATTAAAGTGGTTGAATTGCCTTTATGGTTTGTAAGCTCCATGGTATGCCTAAGAGCATAGTATTAGATTGTGACCTAGTCTTCATGAGCAATTTTTGGCAAGAATTCTTCAAACTTAGAGGCACTAAATTACATATTCCTTAGCTCATCATCCTCAAAGTGATGGTCAAACAGAGGCAATGAATTATTTTTTTTTACAATAGTACCTTAAAGCTTTTGTTCAGTGTCAACATAAGCAATGGGGACAATACTTGCATTGGGCAAAATGGCATTATAACACAGCTAAACATGGTTCCACAGGTATGATCCCTTATAAGGTAGTTTATAATAAACTTCCACCTTTTTTTACCTTATTATATTGTTGAAACTAATGAGAATGAAACAGCGGATACTGAGATGTCCACCTCAAAAATGCTTCTTGCGAAGTTACGTTCTAAATTACTTAAAGCTCAAGGTTCTATGAAATTTTATGCTAATAAGGAATGTCTTCCCCACTCTTTTGAAGTTGGATATAAAGTTTTTATTAATTGCATCCTCATTGTCAAATCTCAGTAAGTGGATTACAAATTCAAAAGTTGGCTAAACGCTGTTATAGCCCTTTCATGATTACAAGACATTTGAGTGATGTGACTTTTGAGTTAGCTTTGCCTGAAGGATCTAAAATTCACCTTGTTTTCCATGTTTCTAAACCAAAATCATGCCATGGAGACTCTACTAAGCTAGTTTTGTCATTGCCTGCTAAAGTCCATGACAACTAGCTCAAGATTTAGCCACTAACAATCTTGGATTGGCATAATGAAGAGAGTTGTGATAACAAAGCCTTAGTTCAATGGCAAGGATTGTATCTTGAAAATGACTTGCTCACTGAATTTCTTAATTTAAACCTTGAGGACAAGGTTTTTGTTGAAGGACGAAGAGATATTGTGGCTTAAGATATGGATAGTTACTCAGATAGTTTGGAGGAATATTATGAGAATGGAAGCCTAATCACACAACTCAGGCCTAAACATAATAGAATTAGACTGAAGTACCTAAAAGACTTTGTTACTAATTAGTTCGAAGGGATACATGGGATGATAACATAAACATTATGCATGGGAGTATTTTCTTTGAGGTTTGATGATTCATATTTTGTATTCACATTTATAGTCTTATTGCATCTTCCATAATATCTTTCCTTCTTTATTTATTTCATTTAGCATGTTTTTTCATTTCTTGCATTAAATTGGAGTTTTCATGAATACTTGTTATCTTTACTTTATATATATATATATATATATATATATATATATATCATATTTTCTCTATTATGACCTTTATCCATTATTTTAGCCATAACTTTTTCTGTAGATCTCCTTTTTGGTTGAATTTTTTTTTTTTTTTGCAATGAATTCCTCACTTCCTAGGCTTCAATTTGGACATATGGATCATGCTGCTTGGAGTTTGGAGCTATTTTTTTTAATTAATTTTTAAATTTCAGACTTAAAACATACCTTTTATATTTAGGGCTTTTATTATAATTTCTTGCAGAGTCCTTGACCCATTTATTTTCATTTTTATTTAAGACCAGTATTTATAGGGGTGAAAAGGTTAGTTTTGAACCTCTCTCCTTTCTCTTTTTCAAAATTTTGTTTTTTTGAAAAGACTTTTTCCCTCTTTTGAGAGAAAACCTTTTTCATTTCATTCACTTGCTTTTTTCGGATTCTGTTGCATTCTCAATTATTTGTTTCTATTGAATCATCTCGTTTCAAGCATGGATTACAAGATCGATTGATCGCTTCGAGTTTGTCTTTTTACTTTTCTACAATTCTTGATTAAGATTGGTGCATGCATAATTCGATTGAAATTAGTTTTATTCTTGAGTGTAATATTGATCGATTGATTGCTTTTACATTTGAGATTTAGGAAAATTCGGTATAGTAATCCTAGTTTGCGTCTATGATTCGTAATTTTAATTTGTGGTTTTAATTCTCGTTTTTGTTTTCCAATTCATTTTGTGTTTCATTTTCATTTTATTTTTGTTTTCGTTTTTGTTTTCCAATTCATTTTGTTTTCAATTTGTTTTTATTTTTTGTTTTCGTTTTTCTGGGTTAAATTAAATTTGTTTTCAGTTTTTAGATACGTTTTCAAATTTTAAATTTGTTTTCAGTCTTTAGATCTTTTTTCATTTAAATTCATTTAAATTGCTTTTGTTTTTAAATTACTTTCATTTTTAATTCATCTTAAAATCACAAAACTCCCAAATTAACCACCATTGCATGTTTAAAATTGAAAACAGAATAAATTTCTGTTTGTGTGAGATGACTTAGGTTTGCTCTCTATATTGCAAAATTAATTGAAAAATCTAGTTTTATTTGACACCATTACGACATAGTTGTCAAGGTTATTAAGATATTTCTTTGAATTACGTGTCAATTGCTATTGAGCAAATCCTTGCTACATGTATGTTTTTTCATTCAATAAAGTAAGAAATACTTTTATTTTCTCTTTTTTTGTTTGGAGGTAGTCTTTCTTAAAAAGAAAGGCCATACATTTTTCTTACGTGTTCTTATTTTTTAATTTCACATTTGCATTTGTTACTTGTGATTTTTTATTTTTAAGCTTTTGACTTCTTCATTGTATAACCAATAAATAAATAAATAAAATACACTTTTTTTAAGTTATCATATAAGATGGGTGGTCAATGTAAAAAAAAAGTAAAACAAAGAACACATAAGAAAGGAAAAGAAGAAAGAATCACGGTACAACATGAGAGCATAAAAGATGAGGAGGGGAGATATGTGCAAGAAAGCAAAGAGAAAAATGAAGGAAGTACCTCAAAAGTTACGACAAATTAAACTTGTTTCTCTTTCTCACACATATATGTATTTTGGGCTAATAACTCAACTTTGGCCCAACAGACTTCTGCAGAGCAACAAAAGATTTGAACCTGAAAATTAGATTTGTTTGAGATGTTGAGTACAGTTTGCTACCCTTAAATAAAAAGAAGTAAAAATTGAAATGATTTCATATTCATAATTTTATGTAATATTTTATATATTATTTTATTTTGTGCGGTTGAACCAGCCGAGTCGATGATGAGACCGAGTTTAATAATTGCATTCAAGTGCATGGTTTCCAATCGACAAAACAAATTAAATTAAATTAAAATTCATGTTGAAATCCCTTAAATTACGAGAATTTACGGACAAATGTGGTTACAACTGTGATTGTAAAGACAAGGAAAATACAATATTACTATTACATGCAATTGTTTCATCCATGCAATTGGTTCCAAGTTCCAACATGCTAAGAAAACAAATCAAAAGTTTTGGATTTTATGGGACGAAATCCAGCAAGATTTGAGTTTTCTCTTCACAATTCAGGGGTTATTTAATTCCATAAAATATTTTCTGTTTTTCCTTTTTATTTTTATACTTTTAATTTTGGAATCGTTACTTCGTTTTGTTTTAATTTTTTTGTTATAAAAAATTTATATAAAAATAGTGAAAATATCTATTTATTATTTTCTCTATTTCCTGTACAACTTTTCAAAACTAAGAAACAGAATTAAAAAAAAGTAATATTTTATGATTAAAAATAAAAATAAAAAATATTTCCTAAAATTAAGGAATCCTTAATTTCTAGTTGCTGCACAGTGCATTATTCTAATTTTGTATTACATCGATTTGATCATTGGGTCAAAGTGGTCCTTCAAAATGAACAGCACAGTGACAGGGATATTTTAACAGGGAAGATGGAATATGGTCGGAAATAAAATATTCTCTCATTCCTTTTTCAGTGTTTTAGTTAAATGAGTTCCCTTTTCTCCTTGCTTTTGGCATTCATTCTCTTTTGTTTGTTTTATTACGTGCATTAACTCTACTTTCACATGCTAGGGTGGGAAAATAACATGCTAATATACTCCTATATATACCCCCACATATATCGATACTACTAAGTAGGTATTTCACACCTAAGAATGTCATTAAATTATTAAAAAAGTTGATAATATATTTTATAACATACTTTTTTTACGATTTTTTTTATTTTTTAATTTAATAATTTATACTTATATTTTTAAAAAATTTGATCAATAATTAAAAGTATATTAAAAAATATATTGCAAGATATTTTTAAAATTAATAAAAGAAAATTTCAGGATTGAAACTCCCCTTGCAGCCAGTAGAATCAGGCAATGACTTTGAAATTCGACGCTATGAATCCATTGTGTTGATCTCAAATTCCCCTGTTCAAGGCGATTCTTTGGTAGGAGCTACAAGAACTGGCGTCGAAAGGTAAATTTTATTGGTCCATCTTATGTTTAATTGAGCAAATAAAAACTATGATAATTGAAAGTTGATAGTACAATTCAAATAGCTATACAAGCTTGAGTAACCAATTTTGTTGTTTATTTTCTCAGGCTATTTAGTTATATTCATGGTAATAACAGCCGAAAGGAACAGATCGAGATGACTGCACCAGTGATCACTGAAGTCGCAACGGGTAATGTCTCCGCATTTATTGTGAGCTTCTATTTGCCGAAAGCAAACCAAGAAAACCCACCTTCTGCAGAGGGTCTCAGAGGTGTAAGATTGAAGAGTGTATATGCAGCAATTAGACAGTTTGGTGGATTTGTGACTGATTCAAATGTTGAGAAGGAAGTTGCAGCCTTAAGCGCTAGTCTTTCTGGCACCAAGTGGTCTTCTGCCATTCAGAAAGGAGGTTATGCCGTGGGACAATATAATTACCCTTTTAAATTGATTAATAGGGTGAATGAGATATGGTTCTTGCTTTAAGCTCACACATAATTGCATGCTGTGTCAAATGTTCTAGGAAAAAAACAATTCAACAACATAAATTAAATATTGAAAAAATTGTATTTTTTTTTACTTCTCCCCTCCTTTTCCCCAAATTAAACAGTGTAAGTGATATTAAATAGGGAAAGAAGTGTAAACTATTTGTTTTTCTTTTTAAAAATAGTTTTCTCTTTTAAAAAATAAAATATAATACAAATTTATATTATCTTTTATTTTTAAAAAGAGAAAATTATTTTTAAAAAGAAAAACAAACATATTTGTTTCTGTTTTAGTTTTTAATTTTTAAAAAATTATATTTTAAAATAATTTTACAAAACTGTTTTTAAGAAAGAAAAAAAAGTAAAACTGATGTCAATAAACAATTTTTTTAAAAATATTGTTTTTAAAAATAGAAATTTCTTTGTAATCTTCCATGCCCTGATCTCTGTTGTGAAAATTTTCATCCAAAAGGGTTCTCTTACATCATCTGATTTACAACCCGCATTTGTGAATTGTCCTCAAACAATAGAATCAAATACCAAATTTAGAAACAAATGCTATTTGAAACTCTCTAATTCATGCTTTGTTCCATATTATATTATACTATTCCAGTTTTCCGTTATGCTATCTTTTATTATTCAGTATTTGCTTATAAAGGACGAAAGCTATATTTAACCAATACAACTAATTAAGAATCGATCAAATTCAGGCATGAATCAATACAACTGATCTAAACAAATCTTCTCAAAAAACTTGTTATTTGGCATTTTATAAAGTTTATATAATTCTATTCTTTTTATAAATAAATAAAAGGCCATATATAAAAATATATAACAATATACACATATTGTTATTATTTAACTATTTATTGTATAACATTTTTGTATTTATTTTATTATTTAATTTATTATATAATATTAAAAATTATTATATTTATCATCAATTGAACTCTAATTTAGTAACAATTGAATCATTAAACTTCAAACTAATATATTCACCAGTTAAATTATTGATTCAGTTTTAAAAATGTTAAAAATGTTTGATTTTCTTTTTATACTACATTTTATTTTTAAAAATAAAAAACTATTTTTAAAAGGGAAATGAAACGTAGTTTAAATTTTAGTTTCTATGTATATTCTGTCTCCACGAGCTTATGTCTTATAAACTTGCTTTTGATGAGCCCTCCCCCGAAAATAAAAAGGTTGTACCTATTCCACGTTTATTGTTCGACAGAAATTTACAAAAAATAATGCACATGAAACACATTGTAAATCATCTAGCTTTGGCTCGTGATAGAATGTACGTCTGTTGTGACTTCCCATCTGAACCCGTATATATTATCATCTTTAATGTTGCTTGTTGATATGTACTCTTGTCCATGGTAGACCCTAGAGGCAGTGACATGTTTATTTAGTTTTAAGTTAATTAATGCTAATGATCTTATAACTATTTGTTAAAAATTAAAAAATTTAAGACTTTATAAACTTATTTTTAACTTAATTACACTTTAAACTCGTTAATTATATATATAATTTGTAAAAAAATTTAATTTTATTAATTTTAATTTTTCTATTACATCTTTCTTCAAAATTTAATAAAATATAATAATAATAGGACCAAATAACACGTACTTTTTAAACATAATTGATCTTACATTTATTTTTAAATTTAGTTATTTAAATTTTATATATGTTTTAAATAAATTAATTTTGTATTAAAAAAGTTAAACTTTATTATTTATTTTATGTACCTTTTTTCCATAAAATAAATTGATTCATTACTATTTACATCTTAATCTTTTTCTACTACTTGTTTTTTTCGTTCCTCCTTCTCTTCTTCCTTCTCCCACCATCATTGCATTAACATTTCAAGCTACTACCATCACAAGTAATCATCTCTAATTATCATCACATAAATATCATTTTAGTAGAACATTTTTCCACCATCATTGTTGTAAACCACCATCACCATAATCTTTTCATGTTGTGTAATTAGACGACGATATTTAACGTGGAATCATGTTAGTGGTTGTGTAATGAAATTTGTAAAAGTTAGTTTTAGTAATTGTTGGAAGCATGAATGCGTGTTTTGATGATAGTGGAGAAACAAAGTTTGTTCAATTTGATTGACACAAATATGATTCCTTTTGAATGGTGAGTGATTCTAGCATTAAGGTGTTGAAATATGTTGATGTTAGTTGATGATTAGTTTCAATAATGATGGTTTTCGGTGAACATGAATCATAGTTAGTGCTAATTTGTGATTGACATGTTGATGACTATGATTAGTTGATGGGTATAGTAGTGGTGATGACTATAGTTGGCTGATGGGTGTAACACCCTTATTTTTATTTCTTTGTTTTTGAAAAATAGAAATTTTGGTGCAGGGTTTCTCTGTCAAGTAAGATATGTCTTGTTCAAATGACACATATATTTTTGAACTAGGCTTTTTAGAGCATTCTCGCTCAAGCGAGATAAGTTTTGCTCAAGCGAGAAAAGATAACATCACCCCTGTAACACCTTAAATTTAATTTTCATAAATAAGAAATTTTGTAAATTTTTGAGATAATAAAAATTTTATTTTTAAGTTTCATTAACCATTTCAAATAAAGGAAGGGGTTACAAATTATATCAAACAGTTGCTATAAGACATATTCAAATACAACAGTTTTCAAAATGATATCCTAAGTCCTATAGCAGTTCCATCCACCCCTTCACTGAGTCTGGTGCTGATTATCTTGATTACCTGAAAAATGAATATAAGGGTGAGTACTCTACACTACTCAAAAATACACAGTCAACATAGAGTCTCACCTCCAACACATTACCAATACATTAAGCAAATACAATTATAGGCAATATTTCACATTCACAAGCACAACACACAAACTCGTGCATAAGCACAACAACCACACTCACTATAGCACTATGATCACAAATTTACACCATGAATGGTCGTCGGTTACCCCCGCCTCACGGATACCACGTGGTCAGTCACGGGTCACTCAGCAAATATAGTGGTCAGAGGTCTAGTCAGGAAGAGAGTGTGTGGCCCGTGGTGCACCCGTTCCACAGTCGATGCCACCATCACTCCCTCTTCTCTAAGGTATTTCTACCGTTCTCATCTCTCACATCTCCAGTGTATTGTTGAACCATTCACATCACATTACAACGACACTATACGCCCCATTCACATACATATTCCATTCACGCATGCAATAATCATGCTTACACACGGCACACAGCCCATATTGCATTCAAATACACAACACTAGCCCACATTCATTTCACAACATACGACACATAGCCTTCATTTATTCATAATATCATTAATTCACCAATCAAGGGCATTCTATCACACACAATCACCCTCATGAGGTCCAATTATTCTATCACACATCATATTGCGTATCAATTTCCATCAAACACACAATTTCTATCTTCTATCTCAGCCACATTGCATTAATAATCAAAACACACAAGAATTACAATACATTGAGATAGGGTAGAGTCCCCTCTTACCTTGGATTGAAGACCCACGTCCGAACTCAACTACGGAAATGCTCCCCACACGACTTTCGGCCTAAACACATGGAAGAATTTCATGAGAATCCCGAAAATCACCAAGAACAGAGAAAGGGAAGGAAAACAAAAACCCTAACCGTTTAAAACTCACCTCCAAGCGTTCCCCACACAAATCTGAGCTCCAATCTCGCTCCCGAACGGCTTTGGAGGCAATTAATCTGTAGAATAGGGCTTTGGGCATGAGAGAATCAAAGGGAGAGGGAGAAATAACTCTCCCTGAACTCTAACCCCCTTTAAATCCTTTTCTGGTCACGACACTCTTGCTGCAATGAAAGGACCTCGCTGCAGCGACACGCCCTCTCGCTACAGCAAAAAAATCAGAGAAAACTGCACTCTGATTTCTACAAAATTTCGCTACAGCGAGACTACACCCAGAAATACACCCCAAATTGTTGCTCTCTCGCTACAGTGAGACGTCTCTCGCTACAGCGAGAAAGTGACAGTTTTAGTCCTTCCTCCCAGGGCCTCTTCGCTATAGCGAGAATCCTCTTGCTGTAGCAAGAACAGTCCAGTAACACGCCCTACACTTAGGCACTTAGCCCATTTCAGCCCAACCAGTCATGCATATACACAATACACACGTCCATATACTTATTACACACAAAAACATTCATTATCAATTAAATCAACACACACACACACACACACACACACACACACACACATATATATATATATATATATGCATTTAGATTTATATAAATAACAATAATTTATATTACAAAATTTGGGGCGTTACAGCCCCAATTGTCCTCTTGTCCAGGTGAGAAAAATTAGAAACTCTCTGGACTCATTCTCGTTCAGGCTAAAGGTAAGCAAGAATATCAGAAAAAGGTTAAAAAACTATTATTTAGTTTTCTTATTCAAGCGAGAATGATCTTGCTCAAGCGTGAATATGCGAGTTTGAAGGGTATTTAAGAGAGTTCACATTGAGGAAACTTCATTTTCACCAAAACCATCTCTACTTCTCTATTCTCTTCTGTTCTTTCCCTCTCCCTTCTCAGAGAAAGCCTCCTCTAATCCTAAATATCTCTCGAATCTAAGCTCAGAGTCTATTCCACTCAAATTTATGTTTCTGGAGCCTAACTCTCGAATCTCGTTCCTATTTCATTGTTCTCTTTTTTCATAATAGTATTCCACTCTAAAATGTTAGAAAGAACTCTAGTCTTAAGTAGTATCTCCGGTCAAAACGTAGAGTTTTTCTCTAGAGCTCACAAAGAACTTAGTCTTAGAGACATATTTCCAAGTAAGGGGAGTTGATCCCAAACCCTAACTTATATTTATATGTTTTTGGCTTAGAAGTTTAAATTCTCTTGCTTAGGATGACGAATCTACAATGTTTTCTTAAAGTTTACAGTGTAAAAATGAACTTATGGATATGAAATGCCTATATGTATTTTATTACTACCTGAGTAA